AATGGTCATGGTTTCATGCCGATCGGTCCAGTAATTTTCAAGTTTGTCGGTAACAAAAAAAAAGTTGCTTCCATATATATAGATGTATACATAAAAAATATATCAAAATGCATGTGGGTACTCAAATGAAAGCTCTTGATGAGTCTAACATCGGGATGAGCTTATAACATTAAAAAAGTCAATAGTTAAAAAAGTACAGTGCAATTCATCAAAAGTCATTATTTAATGAAGCAAAATTTTATTTATTTATAGTTCACAAGTCACGGCAGTCACATAGTGACTGCAAGGGTGCTAGTTATTATTATTTTACAGTGATATAATTATCACATGAATGAAAGGTACATGCCAATTAGATGGAATTTGAAATCTGTGCAAGTCAAAACAATACTGCAATTAAATTCTACCAGAGTAGTATCTGCTGTCAACATTAGTGAAAGTTTTTCAATTTTGAATTACAAATGATCATTGCATCACCATCTAGTATAATGTCATGAAACATCTATAACAAAAATGAATAATCTGGGCAAAAGAAACCTGTGCTGTTGGATGCTTGTGTGAAAAATATTCTGTTCTAACTGATGTCTGGGTTACTGAAATTCTAGTTATGTGGATGCCTGGGTGGAAGATATTCTTAGTTTTAGAAATCTGTGTGTGTGTGTGTGTGTGTGTTTGTGTGTGTGGATCTATGTATGTGGATGTATGTAAACCTCTCATAACTTTTAAACGGCTTGACCGATTTGATCGCGGTTGGTGCTATTCAAAAGGGATTGACTGAACTTAGGTTTTACATATATATTGGAACGATTCGGACCGGTAGATTTTGAGAAATCGAAAAAAAACTACAAAAAAATTAGGAATACGGTTGACCCTGAAGGCCATCCCTGCAACTTCCCGCCAATTCTATACCTAAACGCTTGAAATTGCACTTAGGACGTTTTAGAGCTCTTCGAGCTAATAAATACAATTTGTGTATTATTTTAAGCTCTCCAAGCTCAAAAAAATAGCTCATGTATGCTTTTGAGCTCTTCGAGCTCAAAAGTTTGATATAAGTTTGATGAAACACTATTTTTTTAATTTTCAAATCGCAATAACTTTTGAATGAAAGAACCGATTTTCACGCTGTTGGTGGCATTCGACGCAGTTTTTTAATATTTATAAAAAATCTTTGAATTTATATTGACAGAGTAGAAAAATTCGGAGTAATTCCGAAAAAACGCTTTTTTCGGTTTTCTTTCGTCAACGATAACTCACGAACAAATTAACCGATTTTGACCGGACTGGCGGCGATGGACGAGGTTTTTTAATAGTAAGAGCTGATTAGGTTTTGAAATTGATCGGTGGAGCCATTTAAAAGTTATTCCAAATAAACCACTTTTGAAAAAATTTTTAACTTCCCTCTAAAAATCTCAGATTTTCAAAAATCGGGAAGTTATTGTTTTCACCACGTTTTGCAAAAATCGAGTTCTTATCAGATCTCAACGTTTTGAGGTAATAGGAAGCTTCCCTGACTACCCCCGCGGTGGTGTCTGTATGTATGTAAGTATGTATGTGTGTGTGTGTGTGTGTGTGTGTGTGTGTGTGTGTGTGTGTGTGTGTGTGTGTGTGTGTGTGTGTGTGTGTGTGTGTGTGTGTGTGTGTGTGTGTTGTTTTTTTTTTTTTTCTTTATAGAGAAGCTGTAGTGTAGTAGTAGTAGTGTGTGTGTGTGTGTGTGTGTGTGTGTGTGTGTGTGTGTGTGTGTGTGTGTGTGTGTGTGTGTGTGTGTGTGTGTGTGTGTGTGTGTGTGTGTGTGTGTGTGTTTCTTTTTTTTTTTTTCCTTTAGGAGGGGGAATCCTTTTTACGGATTCTAGGCATAGTTGTTGGCCTGGATATGTGGCGACTCGACGCAGCGTCATACTAAAACTCAACACTAACGCCTCTACCCACTAAACCCTAAACCCCTTTCCTCTTTCCTCTAATCCCTCATGGGAACCGCCGTTAGGCATTACTTCGTGAGGGGAGGATATAGCTACTGCTCTTCCTTCTGGTAGCTAAGGTGTTATTTTACCTTTCTTCAAGTTGTTGTCATTTGCTCTTCTTCTTTCGATGGAACGCAAGTCTATGAGGACTTCTGTTGCAAATGTGCTGATGGCGTTCCATGAGGCTCTTGATGACAACATTGCTTCTACTATTGTCTCTGGTTGGATTTTTTTCTTTAGGATCATCTCCAGCTCATCTCACTGTGGATAAAATCGTGGGCACTCAAAGAAAACGTGCTCCGCGTCTTCATTGATTCCTGGGCAGGACGGGCACTCCGGTGAATCATCATGCTTGAAGCGGTGAAGATACGTCCGAAAACATCCATGTCCTGACAACATCAGCGTCAGATAGTAATTGACCTCGCCACGACTTCGGTTTAGCCAAACGTCGATCTTCGGTATGAGACGGTGTGTCTATCTTCCTGTTGTCGCGGCGTCAAACGCGGCGGAGTTAAAGGCATTTTTTATGTCTAAAGTTGCTACCAGGCAATATTTCTTCGTTCCCTCCTTCCATCTAGTACCGGCGATTGCGTCTTTGGCTATACCGACGACCAGGTTGATCGCGTCCAGAGTTGATCGTCCTTTCCGAAATCCGTACTGATTGTCTGCTAAGAGTGGATCGACAACTGCTTCTATCCTTTGGTGGATTATACGTTCTAGTATTTTACCGGCTCTATCCAGCATGCAGAGTGGACGATAAGATGACGGTTCTTTCGGTGGCTTTTTCCCTTTAGGAAGTAGTACCAGCCGTTGTCGTTTCCACTTCTGAGGAAAAGTCCCCTCTTTGAGGCATGCGTTGTAGACGTCTACGAATAATTTTGGTGCTGCCTTTATGATGGTCTTCAAGGCTATATTAGGGATTCCGTCCAATCCTGGCGCTTTATTATTTCCTACACGGTTGCAGGCCTCTAGCAATTCTTTTTCAGTGACAGGTGGAATGTCGTCTTGTTTGCCTGGCGCTAACTGATAATCGATACTGTGTTGCTGTGGAAACAATGCAGTGACAATTTTCTGAAGGAGTTGAGGACACGTAGGTGACGGTATTTGTTGTTTTTTCAGGTGGGTCACGACCACCTTATAAGGCCTACCCCACACGTCTTTGTCCACCTCGTATATGAGCTCTTTCCAGCATCTTTTCTTGCTCTCTTTGATGGTCTTATTCAGTTCACGACGAGCTTTTTTGTACTCTGTGATCAGCGCTGCAGAATTAGGTCGTTGGTAGCCACGCTGAGACATTCTTCTCTTTCTATGACACTCTTTACGGAGGTTGCTGATGTGATCGTTCCACCAATGTAACGCAGGTCTTGAAATTATGCCATGTTTACGAGGCATACTGGCATCACAGGCTTGTGTTACTCTCATCATCAGGTCCTTAGTCTGATCTTCTGCACATCCAGTGTTAATCGGGTCACTATCGAGGGCTATTAGCAATACTTCTGGGTCAAAAGATTTCACCTTCCAACCAACGATGTTAGGCTGCTTGATAGATTCCCTGAGGTTCTGGTGGTTTGATGTTTCCCAGAGTATCGCATGATGATCACTGGCATTGTAGATGTCCAGTACCTTCCAGTTGTGGTTACCTTTAGCAAGGCTGGTACTGACAAAAGTGAGGTCTACAATTGAGCTTGCATCGCCTTTGGTGTAGGTCGGCGTGTCATCACTGTTGAGCAAAACTACATCTAGTGTAGAAAAAGCTTCTAGTAGTTCTCTTCCTCGTGCATTAGTCTGTTTACTGCCCCAGTCCACTGCCCAGGAGTTAGAGTTGAAGTTCGCGGCTATCGCCACTGGATGATGTTGCTTCGCGTCCTCGGTCAGTCGATCCAAGAAGTCAGTAAATTCAGCAATAGGGAGGCTAGGTGGTGCGTAGCAGCTGTAGAAACGGATGCCATCTACTGATGCTGCTACAAAGCCAGCGCTGCCATTGTTAACCTCACTCTGGAAGGGGAGCTTACCACAGGCCCAGATCACAGCTTTGGTGGTGATCCCTGTCTCCCAAGGTTGGCCAACTAGATGTTTATATGGCTCCGATAAAAGCACAAGGTCGAGCTTTAATTCCCGTACTGTCTGCATAAGCAGGTCATGCGCAGCTTCGCAGTGATTGATGTTAAGCTGCAGTATCTTCATGTTCGTTTACTTGTCAGCTTCTGGAGTGCTTCTTGGAAAACCAGGCACCGACCAGAACCAGACCGGTGAGCAGTATCCTGAGAGCCAGGTTTTTCTGCACATAACACACATTTCACATTATTTGGGCATTGAGCAGCTTGATGACCTGTTTGTCCACACTTGATGCAAAGTCGAGATCGATCGATATTCTTTTTACATTGGACAGTAGTGTGCCCAAAGTGCCCGCACTTATAGCATCGTAGTGGAGTCTTCACTGCTCTGACACGGCAATTCACCCAGCCAATCCGTATCTTGCCTCTTTCTCCGAGTACTTTCTGCGCTGTTGCTGCTGGCAATCTTACCAAAGCGGTCTGGGTGCCTCTGTAGGCCGGACGAATTTTAATGACATTTACTAGTATCTCGTAGTCGTTTCCAGCCGCCTCTTGTAAAGCCATCCGGACATTGTCTTTGGTTGTATCGCCGTCAATGTCCCGGATTTCAAGCTGTTCCTCTGGTCCTTCACAGATGACATCGGCTTTTGATGTGAAACATCTATAGGCTCACTAGTAAACCGACTTGTTGGCGTGGCGACGCTTGCCGTGGCGACGGGTCGTCACGCTATACTAAGGTATACATATATATATTTTCTGTGTAGTAGAGTGTACGGTGTGGCGACGGGTCACCACGCTATACTGATGTATACATTGTAACAGGCCGCTTTAAGCGCCACCTGTTAAGACGTTTTTGTTTATTATTTATTTTGTTTTTTTATGATAATTTTATTTTTGAATTTAATTTAAAAAGAAATTTAAATTGAGCTCTAATTTATTTTGTTGTCCATTGGTTGGATTCGCCGCGACCGAGTCGCCCTCGTGCGAGAAAATGCGACCGAAGCTCGATTGCGCGCGAAACAAAAATTTATTGCGGATTAAGAATTTAATTTAGTAAATAAGTTAGTTTTAAGTATTGTAATGTAAGAATGGTACTAGACCGGCCACAAACCCGCGAAGAGAGACTAACGAGGATTATCGACGTGGATTAGCTGCAAGATCATCAACGACGGGCGGATGGCTGTCTCGAGAACGAGCTAAAACGACGAAGTTATTGGAACTCGAAGTGAGTAATCGACGCATGCGTGAAGGCGGTAAACTGGCTGTCGAACGCGCCAATGCTCCAGCCAATAAATCATTCAAACGTCGATATTGGGAAATTGGACTTGCGGCGCCATCTCTGGAGTTCAAAGTTAACGACGGACCCAGCAAAGAGGGGAGAGACGAGGAATGCAACATGTGCTTATGTTTTCTTTCTTCCACGTTTTCGACTTGCCGCGTGCGAACACGTTTTTCTTGTCTGAATTTTTTTTTTGTTATTTTTTCTTGATATTGTCTATTGTTGAGAATTATTGCTATTGATAATTACAACGATTATTGTTCATTTTTTTCTGACTGCATTACGACGAGGTGTACGAGTCAATTAATTATCAATTGTTAAATTAAACGATTGGTTTAAATAGTTTATATTATGACGTAGTGCATTAAGCAATTACCTATTGCGATTCTGTGCCAAACATAAACCACGGCATTACGACGATAATTGGCTGTCACCAATTATTTATTAATTAGAAGCGTGATCTATTACGACGTTTGTTTGGATGATTGCTAGTTGACGTGTGCGAGTGACGAAAATTCAGCAAGTATCCTCGCCGAGGAAGTTCATTGTCCGGTCTAGTTCGACGTGGAAGCCGAGTACGACCTGGTGCGGCCAATCCGACGGACGGGTAGAGCTACGTCTTCGACCAGGGTAAGTGCCACGGTTTTCTTAAATAAATAGCTCGTGGGGTTTATTTTAATAAAATAATTGTTTTTTTTTTGTATTAATTATTCGTAATCAAATTTGTCATTGCTTGGTGTGACACATCGCCTAGGAATTTCAAGGTTGCTTTGAGTCAACCAATAATACAATAATCCCAAGAGGTATTTCGGTACCGCCATTGTTGTTTTGTGAGTGTACTAATGTATGAAATTTAGTATTGATATTATTATTATTTTTTTGTATAATTTTGACGTTTACTCCCGGGGTAATTCCCGTCGATTACGGGTTCGATTACGGGTTCGATTACCCATTGATCGAGCTTCGGGTTCGTGCGGGTTAATTAATTATTTCTTATTTAAATCCGGTGAATAAACGGAAGTCAATTAATTAATTTAATATTTAATTAAATTTATACTTAATTAAAACCGGCGAACGTAATAGTTTATTATTATAATTTAATTATTACTTAATTGCGGTGAATGAATTTTTTTTTATTATTATTATTAAATTAAATTTGGCGAAAATTTAAAAAGTTAAAGTTAAAAATTAACTATTTGTAACGGTCGGTTCATTTCCCGTACGATTGGCCCTATTATTTAAATTTAATAAAACAACAAAATAGCAACAATGATCTTAAAGTTAAATAGGGCGCCACCAGGATTATTTTCTCAGTTCCTGGAACCGGATGCCAGAGCTGAGCTTCTTATTCTACAGGGAGAGAGAGAGAGAAAGGTGGTCTGAAATAATTAAATCTTTATTAACAAATAACCGGTTTTTATTTAACAATAAAATTTAACAATTTCGCTGACAAAACAGCTCACTTATAAACTAACAACTTATTATCTAGCGACGCGGAGAATTTACTGCGAAATAACGATATTTACAAACGATCCTTTTTTTCACGAATGATGCGATGACTAGCTGGGATGTTCTAATTGACGGTCTCTCACAACCTGATTACGACTAGTTGGGCTTTTTCAGAACAAACGGTCTCCCACACCTGACTAATACTAATTGGGCTTTTTCAGAACTAACGGTCTCCCACACCTGCCTAAACTAAACTTAATCCTGCAGTACCCTCACTTGAGCGTCTATACTGCAGTTTCTAATCTTATCACCGCGGTACCCCACTTGGCGTTTATACCATGGCTACTACCTTACTATCGTTGTACCCCACTTGGCGTCTATACAACGGCTTCAAACTACGTCGCGTTGTCCACTTGGCACACACGCTCTAACTAAAACTATCTCTGTCTCACACCTCTACACCACACTATCTCCACACACATAACCCACGCGTCTTCACACACATTACCCGCTCACACACACACACACACACTGACTCTACCTTTACTATTTTATTTTACAAAATTAACTTCAACAATTTTACAACGTTAATTTATTATTAAAATTTACCAGTCATTAGCTTACAATAATAAAAACTCATGAATTATTCTCTCAAATTTAACAAATTTTACTTCTTAAAATTTTCGGCTTAAACCGACGCCACTTTTCCCTCCATCTTCAACACGAGCTTAGTTCTGCGCATTAACAAAATTCTTAGAATGTTCTTTGCGTAAATTTTACTATATTTTTTACGGACGTAATCCACACGAATAATTGGTTCTATAAATAATTTTACCGGAATAATAATGATAATAAATTATTGATAATTTTTACAGGACATTTTCAATATAAGGCTCCCCAAGCAGAAATTGGCAATTAAATTAGATAATAATTTATAATTTTACTAAATGTGAAAATTACATGCCTCAATTTTCCTGCCAGTGTATCAGTCTTATCTGCGGCAAAATTTAATAAATCAATTCTCGATAATTAATAACACGTGGAATAATAAATTTCTAGTACTTTACGAATGACGATTAGATTATAAATAATGCACCTCAGTGTGAAAATGTAATCTCAAATAATTATCCACGGTCTTAAATTTCTAAATGCGACGCAGTTTTCCTCAATAAATCAATTCCGGTAATTAAAATTGTTCCGAATAAATAATTGAATAATTTTCCATAAACAATAAATATAATAAAATAATTAATTAAGTGGTAATTCAATCGTTAAAGATTATAACATTTGTCCAGGTATTTATTTTATAAATTTACGGCGTCACCAAATTCTTAAGGAATTTGCGTGCTCAAGATGGACGCCGTTACTGCTGCGTAGTAGCTTGACCTCGGGTACTGAGAGACGCTTGACTGGTCGTGAGCTATGACTGGAATGTTTTCTCGGTGTTCAGAAAATTATACTAATAATTTGTTAATAAAAAATGAATTCATTAATGCCAATCAAAGGTGTTAATTATTATTAACCAGCTGAATTAATAACTTGATTACTCACGACCGAACCCCGGAGGTCTGGAACATTGCTCGGGTGTAACAATCCCCTGGAGGAATTGTTCTCAAAGCTAACCAAATTAATTTAATTCAAACAGTTAAATTATTATTGAATAAAATATTATAAGACGAATTGAATTACCATTAATTTAATAAATGACAAGTAGTATGGAAATTGAGCCGGGTGTGACCCCCAAGGCTCAACACTACCAAAGTCCAATACCTGACGTCAATTGGTTTGAAGGAACTCTTTGGTTGCTAATGGCTTCCTTCTTGGACTCCTCGATGTTACTTGTTTCAAAACTACACCACTTCTCCCGGCAAAACGCACTGCTCAGCTATTTAATGGCTCCCCGAAATACCCCCTCCTACTCTTTTTCTAGGGCCGAAGATCAATGCGCCAAAATGCTAGTCGACAAAGTTATCGATCTCTGGCGACTTATCGATTAAGGGTTATTTACCCTGTTACACATTATTAAATATATTTTTGACGCATAGATTATCAGAGTGAATTAGTTAATTAATTATCATTAATTAAATCAGACAAAGTTTATCATTTTTATTTGTTTGTTTGCGAAGATTAATTTTTTTTGTTTAAAAACAATTAATTGAAATTAATTGAACTGAGCGACGATTGATTAGTAAATAACTTTTTTTTTTTTAATTTACAAAAATTAGCTGAACTGAGCGACGACTTATTATTAAACAATTTCGAGCGACGATTTATGTTTAATAATTGTGATTGGTTGTTATTAATTGAATTTCGAGGACGTTATTTTATTGTATTATTATTTATTTGATTATTATCAATTAAATTAAGCGAAGATTTAATTTTTTTTGCTTATCTATTATTTAGTTAATTAATTGCGATTGAGTGAATTGCGTGATGATTTAATTGCTTTCTGTCATTAACTAATTAAATTAACTGAGTGAGCGACGACAAAATGTTTATTTGAGATTGTTGATTGAAATTAACCGGAGAAATATTTTTTTTGAAAAATTTTGAAGTTGTTTGTTTTTTTTTGCGAAAACTGCGTATCGACGGCGTATCGACGAGATCGTCGACGATTACTATTTTGCGTTTAATTCTTTTATTTTGTTAATCTTGAACAATTACTTGAATTTATTGTTAATAAATTGATAACTTATTTTTTTTAATTTATTGTGGATTAATGCGAGTAGTCCCGAATACTTTCTTCGTTCCTATATAATTAAGTCGTACCCTTAAGGCCCGCCGCCCGTAAGAAGAGAGTCCCGGACCGGAGCAGCCGGAAATCGACGTGATCGGAGCGAAGCTCCTGGCGCCCAACAACAGGTAAAGCAGGTAGGCCAGATTATTTATTTCGGGCTTCGTTCTCGCTAACGCACGAGTACGAAAATACCCGTTATAACATATATATATATATATAAAAATTTTTAACTTCCCGTTAAAAAAATTGAAAATTTTCAAAAATCGTTCACCCCGTTTTTCGAAAATCGAGTTTTCATCAGATCTCGACATTTTGAGGTCCTAGGAAGCTTCG